CTTATGGATTTGGATTTGACTTGATTCAAAAGGATCCGATCTAAATCGATTTGATTTGGATCGAATTGACCCATGGATCGATTGTTGAAACAAGTGATATCTTTTTATTGAAAATCAAATATATGAGCATCAATCAATAAAAAAACTTATTACTATAAACCTTTTTCATAAATTGTCCGAGATTAAGTGGCTCACAACACCTCACACTCCCAACACAGAACAAATCAGTTGTGGTCAAAGAAAATTAACTTTTACAATAAAAGTGGGAAAATATTTTAAACTATCGTCTACTCAAATCTAAAGGGAGAATACAACGAGATAAACGTTTCAGAAATTGATTATATATATATATATATATATATATATATATATATATATATATATATATATAATCTGTGAAGCCCTTGGATTATGTTTGTCATACTTGATGCTGAAAATTTTTTATCGTGAATTTAAACATCGGTTTGGTTGAGCATAGGTGATTCATTGGACCTGATCCATTTTGGGTTTACCAACCTATATCATATGATGATAATGTGGTTACTAAACTTTAAACATATATAGTTTGTTGGATCAGCTGATTAAAATTAATCTGCTAGGTAATCCAGATTAGGATGAGCTTTCCTGAGCTTTATTCCACTAAGAAATTTAGAATCATTGGCATTTCACAAAATATCAGGCAGGATTTGATTGTGTCTAGACCTGGTTGACTGGGAGGAAGAAGAATAAGAGTGGAGAAGAGGGAAGAGGAGTATAAAAAATCTAACCTGCAAATGCCTGCCCTATATTGCTGTTGGTTAGCCGCTGTCACTTCTTGAATGCTGCTTGTCTTGTGATGCAGGTATAAGAGAGAGAGAGAGAGAAGGAATATCTATTGATCTTATTGTATTATAGTGTGATTTGTGACTATAAATTTTCATAACATTGTTGAGATTGTATTCTCAATTTTGGTGTCTTGGACCGTATAACTGAATTACCTGGGACTTGTAAGTACTGAAAACTGGAAAGAGGAAACCAGATAGTGATTCTAATGGTGATAGAGGAATCCCAACATCTATGCTTGCTACGGCCTACGGGAGTAGCAGCGGCAGCTATTAGCCATCAGTGGATTTCTTTCACTAACTTAAAGTCTAGAGCATTTAACAACAGCCACCTCTATGATGTGATATGCGATGAATATATTTAAAGTCCTATCTGATTACGTAAGATTCTTACTGATGCATATATCATAACAATGGGATGCATTCAAAATCTGAAACCAAAAGGGTAAAATGCTTCTCCAAGTAGCTAGGTTCATGATAGAAGCTTTGCATGTCAGAGATAAACTCCTCAACTATAGATAGGCTAATAGCTGTAATGACTAACTCTAGGAAAGACAAACTCTTCAAAATTTCATCTGTAATGACTCAATATTAGAACCCTTCTCAGTCACCAATATTTTATATAGATGAAAGTTGATGGCTCTTGCTTATGGATAAGATATTGCTGGAAAATGAAATCTGAATGGTCCACTTTGAATAAAAGCTCACATGATGTATTTGGCAGTGAAGATTATTATAACTGGTTGCCAACATTAGTTGGTCCTTAAACAATTAAGCTCGAGTATCTGGCGAGCAACTTAAGTAGGCAAATCAATTTGCCATAGACGTCATACTTCTTGCTCTCTTTGTTTTCCTTTCTGTGTGCATGCGTGTCCATGTGTGTAAAACTTTGTGTATGTGTGTGTGTGTGTGAGTGAGAGAGAGAGAGAGAGAGAGAGAGAGAGTTTAAGCTGATGTAATTACGGAGTAGTCTTTCCAAATTCCCCTAATCATGGCAAAGGCTTTCAGGAAGAGAAGGCTAAGAAGTCATCGTAGGTTAAGCAATGTTGATCTCAATGATGTAGATGGCAAACTAGTTGACAGCCACAATCCCTTGATTGTAGTCCTTTTTGCACCACCCTATAATGGAAAAACTATCATCCTTTTTGCTTGTTTGTCAATATTAAACTGGTAAATGGTCTGACAGCAGCTTTCTGGCTACTTTTTCTCCATTGCATGAAAACATATACCTAGTGGATCATCTTCTCTTTAACCATGTTTAACATTGCAATCATTTTCTTGACCTTACCATGAAGTTTAATTAGTGAACTCAGTATATTATTGTGATTTGATAATTTACATTAACATTTGCCAGATTGCGTTACATTCCGGGTGCTTGTTTGGCTGGTCTGCTTGGAGTCATGGCTGATGTGCCGATGATCTCATTGATTGCCATTTGCAAGAGCCCGTACATGCTTTTTAAAGGATGGAGGCGTTTGTTTCATGATCTTATAGGCCGAGAGGGCCCGTTTTTGGAAACTGCATGCGTCCCATTTGCTGGTCTAGCCATTATTCTCTGGCCATCGGCAGTTGCAGGAGCAGTCATGGCTTCCATAATACCAAGTTTCTCTTTGGGTGCATATGCAGCTGTTATAGCATACCAGGTCTGAGTTGGTTTTTTTGCTATCTATTTTCTCTTAGAAAGTACCTACTTGCTTCAGTTTATCAAGTACGTAACACGTATTACCACTAATCAACGATGTCTGACAATGATTTCCATTTTCTTATTATACTACAAAAAGTTCCATTTTCTTATTATACTACAAAAAGAATGTTCCATGATTTAGTTCCTAAATGCCTCAGGAGACATCAGTGAAGATGGGGCTAGCCTACATCATCTCTTCCATGTCTATGTTTGATGAATACAGTAATGATGTACTTGACATGCCAGAAGGATCTTGCTTTCCCAGGTGCTACTTTGTATGGTCACTCATTCCTTGCATGAAGCATCATTTTAATCTGAAACTTATTGTTAATATTAATCTTGCTAGGTATCAATATAGGAAGAAGGTACCACAGCGTGCTACCTCTTTTTCCAGACCTGTCTCTTTTCGACGGGAAAACCAGGATGCAAAAAAGGCTCCTTCACGTGCGACATCATTTAAGAATAGCATACTTGAATTGAATCCTTTGAAGGTAATAAGTTTCTGGATGTAATAACTTGACGATGTGTTCTTACACAAGTTAGCTAATGTTATGGGATATAAGAAAATGGTTTCTGCACTCTAACCCAATGTCTGGAAGGTCTGGATGGATCCGGTAAGAGCACATAGCTCATTTCAGGACATAAGACTTTGATTAACTTTACTAATAGCAAATGGGGAAATGTACAACTCTTTTGATAGACAGGAAGATAATATGTTCCTGTCTCTTAAAATATAGTGTTGGGTATGCACTACTTATTGGGTAGTTGTTCATTAACATGTTATAGCTTATTTGTACTATTGAGATGAAACTTGATCACTGTAACAAAGTTTCCTTTATTCTCACCCTTCTCATCATTGTAGACTCTAGGAAACTTCAGGGTGTTGGTTGCATGAGTTTTAGTTGCAATCATGATGCTATATCTTCCTGCCTTTAATAATTAGCGTTTTGGGATTATTGACATTGCCATAACTTTCCTTCATTCAGGAAATCGTAACCAACTTCGGATGGTCAGGTTGAAAGTTGATCATAATTTTTTCTTAAAATCTTTCGGAGAGCCTACTTGTTATAGTCAATCATGTTCTACAGACAACCTATACCATTTGGAAAAAGTCTTTGACAATAGTGATTTGTTTCAATCCATATTTGTGTTTCCATTGTCATGGGTAGAGTTTTAAATTTTATTAGGACTAGTAATTTTCCATGTGTTGCTTTGTGTTCAGAACATGCAACCAAACTTTGAGATTGGTGAGAGCTGAATGACTATGTTCTGTGCAGTTACTTGATCATCTGTTCTCGGAGTGTAAGCGCCATGGTGAGGTTTTGGTCTCTGAAGGAGTAATAACACAAGAAGACATTCAAGAATCTAGGTCCAGTAAAGGTGGTAGCAGGATAATAAGGTTGCAAGGCATCACCAAATCGATCTCAAGGTATCCGACAGCCAGACGTCGTTTTGATGATCTTGTGAAATCTCTTTCCGAAGACCTTGAGAAGAAGTTTGGAAGCAATCGATCTGCCAATGGGTCTCAAGAGAGTCAACGTGTACGAAGTGGTATTTTCCGAATTTTTAGCCAAAAGTCATTTGGCTCAGATACAAGCACCAAGGGCCATCATCAAGAAATCCAAGAGGTTAACAATGGCTTTTAGTTCTGTAAAACTTTACTACATACCTCTTAAATTTACAAGGATTTTTCTCAAGTGTTTTCTATGTGGATAGATGAGGAGATATTGATTGATGAACTGCTAATGACATCATATGTCATTTGATTGATGTACCATTTGAATGAAGATGTGCCTGTATAGTCAGGAACTTATTATTACTAGGCAACGAAAAGCCTTCGTTTGCCTATGACTGATGTGTCGTTAAATATTATGATTTGTTTTCCCATGTTTTGATTGAAGATTCCATATGAGGATTTGTTTCCTGTCTTTCATAAGTATGAAATATATTATAAACCATACTATTCATATGGACATAGATATACATGAAATGTACATCTACTTATTTTAAATGCAGTTTGCATGGTAATATGTTCTAAAAGAAAATGTAGCCTAATATTCTATCTCGATTAGTTTGCAAAATTAAGATTCATAAGTGTATTATTATTAACTTCAATATAAAATATTTTGATCAATAATTTAGGTAAAATAAAGTTAATGAGTCAATTATTATATCATTTGATCGCACATCCCATTTTATATAAAAATAAATTATTATTTTATTATCCATAATTTATAGAAGATATTTTTTTAATCACTGCATTTAAATCTGTCTTTATAATAATAAATATTTTTTAAATAAAAAAATTCTTAATAGAGTCACATGTGACAAAAAACGAAGTCTCTTTTACCTTAGCCGCATATTTGCTTCCTCTAAAAGTAAATATAAAACATATACGATCTTTAATATTCGTAAGATATATAAATATTAACAAGTTAATATAAAATGGTAATATATCAATTTATTATTAAATTCATGTAAAAAATAAAATCATTAAGATACAACACATCTTAATAGTTAGATAACAAATACATACATCACACTCGCAATCGATGGTGTACTCTCCCAATAGTGGATGGAAATGCATATTCTACATGATGGATTTCTCCGACAGTGGATGGAGCAGTATTCCTCACCTACCCAAGTGGAGATATGTTCTTCCGAATAATGGATGGAGAAATCGTTTAACCATCGCGTTACCAGTTTGCTAATTCTCAAAAGAGATCGCCCTACCTATTATCGGTAGGGATACATAATCAACCATAATCATTTATTTTATTCATCCATTCATGCATGTATCTAAAAAATAGTATGATAGAATATTATGAGAATAGGTAGGGATACATAATCAACCATAATCATTTATTTTATTCATCCATTCATGCATGTATCCAAAAAGTAGTCTAACCATAATCATTTATTTTATTCATCCATTCATGCATGTATCCAAAAAGTAGTATGATAGAATATTATGAGAAATCATAATTAATGTATGATCTACTAAATTATGTTTATTAGTAGCTCCACACTATGATGGGCCCATAACTCCTTTTATTGGTTGCACATCTAATATGGACCATTAGCATAGTCACGTTACTATATAGTAACAATCATATTAATATTAAAATTAAAAAAAAATCAATAATCATTTCTAAATGAGACATTCAAATAAAACTTTCAAGATCATCCAAAACTTTAATTAGAATAACCCAATTGACTTGACCGAAGTTCAATTCAATTAGGACCCAGTAGAACTATTCTCAAATCCTTATAGAATCAGTTTGGAATCATCCTAATTGGTCTAATTTAGATTTGATTAATTTTAATTAGGTCATATAGATTTGAACTAGTTAAATTGACTTAGAATCACCGTAAACCGACTTGAACCGATCAAACCTATATGATTCAATCAATTAACGAGGTCAAACCAATAAAAAGATAGGAAATTGGATTACGTCGTATACTGCTAGCCTAAACTGAATTGACCCACCTAACTCTTGGATGTGTCACGTGCACCGCATATGCCTGTCATAGGTAATAAGTTGGGTTGAGATACAATGGACTAGATAGAGAGACGATGATGTGTCTAACGTTAGTTGCATAGTTAGGCGAGCCTAACTTCACAAGTTGGGCTAAGCCTCACTCACGAGTTAGGTAAACCTTATTACTAAACTAGGCCACACTTTTCATGAGTTAGGTCATGCTTAGATACATGGGTTGGACTATGTCTAACCATATAAGCTGGGTCGCATCTAGCCACATGAGTTGGACTGTGCTTGGTCACATGAGTTAGGTTATACTTGGTCACATAATTGTGTCATACTTACTACGTGGGTTACATCGTACATAACTACATAGGTTGGGTCATACCTGACCATATGAGTTACGTCATGCCTAACCACATATGTTGGACTATACTTAACCATATGCACTGGGTCATGTCTAATCACATGAGTTGAGTTATACTTGGCTACATGAATTAGATCATGCTTGGCTATATGGGTCGGACTATACCTTGCCAACTAGTTTAGGATATGCCTAACAATATGGGCTGAATTATACTTGACCGCTAGGTTATGTTTGACCACATATGTTAGGTCATACTCAACTATACGAGTGGTTTGGCCAATCAACTTAAATTAGGTCAAACCTCAATTTTGACCACTTTTATTAAATTAGATTTTAATATTTTTATTTATTAAAGAGTAACTCAAATCTATCAATTAAATCATTTAGATTCAAAGTCTTAAATTTAAAACTAATTAAATTATAAAAATTCTCACATAATTTTTGAAACATATATATATTTAATTAAATAAATTATAACTATTATGTTAATCCAAAAATAAGAATTTTAATAATTAAATCAATCTTGAAATCCATTTAAGCATAAGAGACCATTATAAATCATTATATATATATATATATATATATATATATATATATATATATATATATATATATATATATATATATATATATATATATATATATATATATA